GAATGCACTAGAGATCAGTAACGAGGAACTTGTGAAACTACACAAATACATGAAAATTAAACAACTTGCTCTTGAACACCACTGGATCAAAGAAGAGAGTAAGGAGAAAATCAAAACATTTCTTGAAACAAATGAAAACTGAAACATAATTTACCAAAACCTGTGGGATACAGCCAAGGCAGTACTAAGAAAAGCTGATAGCAATAAATAGCAATAAATGCCTCCATCACAACTCAAGAAACTGGAACAGCAAGGATAAATTAAACTCAAAATAAGTAGATGAAAAGAAGTAATAAAAATCAGACCAGAAATGAATGAAATTGAGACTAAAAATATAATACAAAAGACCAATCAAATAAAAAGATGGTTCTCTGAAAATATAAACAAAATCAGCAAGCCATTAGTCAGACTAACCATTAAAAAAACATAAAAGTACCAAATAAATAAAATAAAAAATGCAAATGGAGACATTACAAGAGATACAAATGAAATACACAGGATCATCAAAGGTAATTATGAACAACTATACACTAATAAATTTGAAAACCTAGAAGAAAAGAAAAAATTCCAGGACACCTATGACTTGCCAAGACTAACCCAAGAAGAAAAAGAAAGTATGTACAGACCAATAAGAAGTAATGAGATTGAATCAGTAATAAAAAGTTTCCCAGCAAAGAAGAGCCTGGTCTTTACTACTTAATCCTACCAAACAGTTAAAGAAGAACTAATACTAATAGTATTAGTAATATCAATACTATTTTAAATAATCGAAGTGGACATAATTCTTCCAAATTTATACTATGAGTCTAATGGTCATTCAAGTTTTGGATAGTTTAATCTAGATGCTTCTGTATGTCTGTTGTCTCCATTTTCTTGCCTGCTTAATTTTATCCACAGGCAGGTTTCTCTGGTGCTGAAAAAATGACATAAGCTGTTGCAAGCTTTATACCCCACACCATAACATCCAGGAAAAGAGAGCACATCTCTTTTCATTAATATCAAACATAAGAATCAGGCTTCATATAAACTGGACCACCTTAGGCCAAGTGCATAGCCTGACCCATCACTCTGGGCAAGGGTAACTGGGATCCATGTGATGACTGGCTTAAATTATAGTTCACCTGAACATTCTTTAGTCTATCACATTGACAGGGATGACTTCTTATGATTGTCTTCTGCTAAATACTACAGCTGAAGAAGGAATCAACCAACCAAAAATCACAGAGCTGCCATACAAATATGATGAGGCGGATTAGAACCTGGATAGACTGTACCCAATCATGTCTAATCCAGGTAGAAAGACAGCAGCAGTCCCACTGTTTGCTCTCCCTCACCTCATATTTTCACCCTTTTTACTTTTCCCATCATAACTTCATTTTCCAAAAATTTCCATATACTCAGCTGCTGCCACCTGTACCTGGTCTCTCCACATCATCCCCTTGCCTTGTGTCTCTCTTCTCAGACTCTGAAACAAATTAGAGTTAAATCTCTTTCCCCAAGTTCAACCCAAATAAGTTCATGAGTTCATGTAATAGGAAACTTAGGAGCAAACATACAAAAAACAACAGAAAGAAAACAGTGAAAACTACCGAAGTAAAAAAAAAAAAAAAAA